GCCGGAGTTAAACCACGACACAAACGGAGGTTCTCGAGGTGGTCGGTGGGTGGTCTCTCAAAACCGAGGTGTTTTTCCTTATTTTTTTTAGTGTGCTGATTGATACCTGCCACAAACAGAGTATTCACCCTGTGAAATGGTTATCTCACATTGAAATATTGTAACCTTTGTATCCCCAGCTACTTATTTCCGCAGTGTGCTGCCCCCTCAGCTGTGCCTGTCCAAGTGTTGGTTGCAGTAAATGGAATCCAAAAAATGAACTGGGTTTAAAACCAATACTCCTCATGCAGACAACCAAGAAAAAAAATTCCATTTCCCAAGTGCAATTTCCAAACTAAATCCAGTTCATGGTTCAGTCCCCTGGAAAGCAAATGGAGTCAACCAAGGGTGTGGGTGCATCTGGGGGGAAGGGGTCTGCTGATGGTTGCTACCAAGAGAGGTATCCAAAATAGACGAGGGGGTGTCATCTCATGAGACACGGATTTGGTCAGCGAGGCTGGTGCGAGAGGCTTCTGCCCCAGCTGCCTCCCCTCCACCTCCCCAGCTGTGCTACTTAGAGGTTTCTGAGCTTAAATCGTGGTTTGAAACCAGCCCTTTTCTGACGAAGCGGAGACGCTTCGGTGCAGTCAGCACGAGGGGTTTTGCGGTGCTGGGCCGTTTGAGCAGCTGCTGAGCCCAGCTTGGTTAACCCTGACGCTCGCCTCTTGTTTCCTCTGCAGGATCGGACGGCTTTTCGATGGCACGGAGCCCATTGTCCTCGACAGTCTCAAGCAGCATTACTTCATCGACAGAGATGGGCAGATGTTCAGATATATCTTGAACTTTTTAAGGACATCAAAACTCCTCATTCCTGATGATTTCAAGGTGAGATTTCAAGGGACTTGGGTGTTTTGCATGTACCTTGGTAAAGCAAGTGTCTGGCATGTAGGCAAAAGAGTGCCCTAGGTGGGGGGGTGGGGACGACACTTGTAGGCTATGATGTTTCATTGCAGGTACGTGGCAAAAGTAAGCGTGGGGTTGCTAAAGTGGCATCTGTCAGGTTTCCCTGCAGTGGCACCAGGATTAAATTTTCCCCTCCTGGATACAGCGTAATGGAGCAACCTTGCCATGTTTGACCTGGGGAAATTAAATATCGTAGGATGCTGATGGAGACAGAGGGGATATTACAATCTGGAACCGATTGCTCGTGAGCTTTGCTGATTACTTGTCCTCTCATCCGCTTTTATGCTTCCCGTCTGATTGCAGCAGCTCCAGCTTCCACTCCCACGCTGAAATTCAGAGAATGGTGTGGGAATCAGAGTATTGACAAAATAAACTGCACACACGGTAATATTCGAGCCTTAAGTCATGGAATATTTTCTCCCCCAGATTCTTGAATGCATACTGCAAGTGTAATTTGAGAGAAGTCAGGGGTGAATAGCTCCACATATGTTATTTACACATTATTAAAGAGCCTGCTTTTTTTCTTTGTAATAATAAATTAAATTAGTGGTAATTCCACTCTAGTGGAAGGTGTCCCTGCCCATGGCAGGGGGGTTGGAACTAGATGATCTTTAAGGTCCCTTCCCACCCAAACCATTCTATGATGATTCTGTGATTCACCAAGCTAGATGTTAGCCTACAGAGGCAGAGGTTTCAGACTCCATGTGCTCTTCTGTGTTTATCCGCTTGTAAGCATGCAGGTGCATAGGTGGTGTCGGCAAAGTGAGCGCTGGAGACCTCGGCTGCAATCAGAACAGATCTTTATCGTTACTTAATGAACACGTATCAGCATAGCTGGCTGTGCCATTAGTTCACCGTAGGGAATAGAGCAATTTGGATTGAACGGGAGAGGTGATGGGGAAGGGTTAGTGCAGTTCACACTGGCATGCAGTCTTTTATCCCCTCCTACCTGAGACGGATTTTCAGGTGTTTGGGGCATAATAGTTGTGGGGTTGAGTATAGCAGCAACCTTTGAGTTATCTGCTCTAGACACACACGGGCGTACTGCTCCCATGCGTGATGAGGGTAGACTTACCTGAAAAACGTGGGAGTTTGGATCTAGCCATGAGCTCTCTTTTGAAGCCTTAACGTGGCTTTGTGCTGCTCTCGGCATTTGTCCCGGAGATAATCGGAAATAGAGGAACAGGAAAAGCCACCTTCCATGCAATATTAAGAAATTATACATGCAGAGCCTTTTAAACACATAAATACACTGTAGCTGCGCTGAAATTAAAGATTTAACTCCTGGCAAGTTTGCCCAACTAACATGATGTTCAAAGGGGTGTCCCCGGTTATGCTTTAAGTTGTCTAAAAGATTAGTGCTTAAAATGAACAGTGGTCCTTGTTTGTTAGAAATATATCGATTAGATGACTTTTTTTTTATTGCACATTAAATGTAAGCAGTATTTTGAGCCTGATTTAGATGTCTTATTCTCAGAAAGCATTCTGTCTGTAGCTCAAATTCAGGGCCGTACTGACGGTTAGCTGAAGGAAGACTTTCCTTTGTTGTCATTCTGTTCCCTAATTCTCATGTATTGCTTTCCTCTGTATAAATATTTTCCAAATGGTCTTACACTCTTCAACTTAGGAAAACAAGATTTATTTATTTTTTTAGATTTAAAAAATGGCAGTAGGCAGGCTCCAGATCATCAGTTCTAAATTACTTCGGTACTGGCTATGCTTAGAAATGCGTTCTTTCTGCTCTGGCATTTGGGATGATGTAGTAAACAATACAGCTGGCAAAATGGGGAGGTATTAAAAAATACTTAATTTTTAAAATGCAGTAATATGTGCGATTCATTATGCAAATATCTGAATCATTTTACACTTGGAACCATCGCAGACTCCCTCATTTACATTCTTATACCTGTTACAATGCCTGCTAGTGTTGCTGTAAGACGCAATGGATCCTAGTGATGAATTTTCTGAATCCTGATTGAATTCTGTTCCATCTGTTCAGTGAGGTCATTATTCTATGACATCACTGTGGAGATAAAATATGGGAAAAAGTGGGATTTTTGCCTGGATTATTCCCTAGCAGAGGGGAAGTTGAGCAAGCGTAGCCTCCCCCTCCCCTCCTGAACGCTGCTATACCCAGTCTGTTTGAAGTGGCTGATGGTTAATTTTTGCCAGCACTTTTATTCTATTACACCTTCCTACACAGTAATTACGAGCTATGTCTGAAGGGTTCCAGGTCTAGAGCGGCGTTAGCCTGAATAACTATACACATTAAGTGGTACGTGAGCAGTGCCTCTGTCTTAATTGTGCACAGTAATATATGTGTCTTTCAGGACTACAGTTTGTTATATGAAGAAGCAAAGTATTTCCAGCTTCAGCCCATGCTAGGAGAGATGGAAAGGTGGAAACAGGACCGGGAGAGTGGCCGCTTTTCAAAGTCTTGTGAGTGCCTGGTGGTGCGAGTTGCCCCAGATCTCGGAGAGAGGATTACACTGAGTGGCGATAAGTCGTTGATAGAAGAAGTGTTTCCAGAAATCGGTGACGTGATGTGTAACTCTGTCAATGCTGGCTGGAACCACGACTCGACGCATGTCATCCGATTTCCACTGAACGGATACTGTCACCTCAACTCAGTTCAGGTAGGAAGTCACGTGTGCATTTTTTGGAAGGGAGCCTGCTGGCCAGGTACCAGTGGGTTGACCCTCTTCCCTGTCACTGGAGCATTTCAGTGCTAGCTTTGAGCAAGTTATTTACTTCTACGGGTCAGCACTGCTTTCTCAACTTAATTCACACGTCGCCAAATCTCTTTTCAAAACAAACTACCGTAGCGTTAAAAACCTGCTTTAGGAGGTACATATTTGCCCCAATAGAAAGACATTGTATATTTGGATAAATGTTTTTTTGATGCTTGAATATAAGGCAACCATTCAAGCCTGCTTCCAGTCCCTTGCTCTGCTTGTTATAAATTGTTTTCTGGATTGGTGGGAGGGCACAGGGACATCACAAGTCAGGGAGGGAAGGTGCCACATCCCCACATTCAACTGACAAAGGTAGGGGAGATGCTCTGATTTACCAGAGTCCACAGGAGCTCTGAAACTAAAAAGAAAGAACACAGGAGCAACAGGGTGAAGCCCCAGTCTCTTATTCTGTGGAAATGATGGTAAAGGGGAATTAATGTGAGAAAGAGATGACTGGAGAGTAGCATTGGCCAGGTGCTGAAAGGAGGGTCATGCTTCCACAGAGGGGGAATACAGCCAGCCCCCTCCTCCCTCCTCCTTCCAGCTGAAACTGGACCCAGTATTTCTGGAGAATGAAGCAGCCTGCAGCCACAGGAGAAGGCATAGAATCACGGAATGGTTTGGGTTAGAAAGGACCTTAAAGACCATCTAGTTCCAACCCCCCTGCCATGGGCAGGGACACCTTCCACTAGACCAGGTTGCTCAAAGCCACATCCAGCCTGGCCTTGAACACTTCCAGGGATGGGGCATCCACAGCTTCTCTGGGCAACCTGTTCCAGTGCCTCACCACACTCTCCATGAAGAATTTTTTCCTGATATCCAATCTGTCCTCTTTCAATTTAAAGTCAATACCCCTTGTCCTGTCACTACAGGACATCTGAGTCTTACCCTCGTAGAGGGGACTTTGCCTCAGCCCGCTCTGCTATCCCTCACACTGGGAGGTCCTAGCAGGGCTTTGACCCTTCAACAAGACTGTCAGGCAAGGCTTCTAATGTGAAGGAAGGGGGTGGGGGAGAAGTTAGCCCAGGTGGGGTTAAACTAGTGTGTAATTTTTCTAGTGTCTGTGGTTTCAGGGACGACCTTCCTCTTTCACTTTCAGCCGTTTTTCCTAATTTATTATGGCATAGTAGAGGATGTAGCAAGGTACAAAATCAGTAGCTGTCCTGAAACTGATATGAAAGATTCTGGGAGACAAAAGCAGGTAATTTCTGGAAGAATTACAATAAACTTGTAAATTATAGTGTCATATGTGTCATCCTTCGATGGTTAAAAACGACCAACCTCACATACCTGTCTCCACCTAGTTAGCACATCCTGCACAGCCAGCACTTGGAGTGAGAGCACTTCTTCACATCTGGAATTGTCATTAGCACTCCTTGGTGCTTTTTGGTTCAGATACACCTCCTAAAAGCTCCAGGCTCATAAGCAAGTCCTTACAGAGACGAGACTTGGAAGCTGAGCTTGGTGTCTTTCCATCTGCCAGGTCCTGGTGTCCAGGTGGAGAAGCGTCGTCGTGAGTAATGCAAATTTAGAACAGCCCTACATGTAAGATTATAACTGCAAAGGGATAGACCTTTCAAGGAGAGGGTTATTTAGCCATGTCATGTGATAGTTGTCAAAGCAGTTGCATCCTTCAGAAGTTTCTCTCTTATCCTGAATGTGTTTACATTTTTGTCACGCAAATGAGAATTGCCAGGCGTATTTACTGATGTGAAAAACCTAAGTCAGAGTGGCAAAATATGCACAGGCTTCAAGGGGGATGATGATCCCTCATTGATAGTGCTGCGTCTTTCATTTCTGGGGAACATAAGCATCTCCCAGTCCTAATAACAAAGCGAGGAGGGACAGTGACTACTAACAGACTTGGAGAGTAAGGTGCAGACTGAATGATTTGCCCAGGCTAGTTTCCCAACAGTTGTTACCATCACATCTTTTTTCCATGACCTAAGTTTTCCCGCTTACTTTTCAGTGGCGTGCACTGAGACATATTTGAGGGATTTTGGCTTATGTTGTTAAAAGCTAAAGATCAGAGTAAACAAATTGACCAGATGTTTTGATGGCTGCTTCCGAATGTCTTTTCCCACCTCCTCCATTTTTGACATTTGTCTGCTGTGCAATTAGCCAGGCTCAAGTATTATTGGCAGGATTTTTGCCGACCCGAAGCAATACATGTAAAGACTTGGTGTGTCTTGTTTTCAGGTGTTTTTAAACCACAGCTCACTTCTCCCCTCACCCCCATCCTCCGGATCCTTCTGCCACTCTGCCTGCCCTTGCTGTCCCAGCACATGTGCTAATTGCTGAAATAGCTGAGGAAGGCTTGGTAGGCTCCCAGCACAACCCCAGTGAGGTCTGGTCATGCTGGACAGAGGGTCCGGTGTCCTATGGGGTGTCTGCCTCCCCTTGGTGCTGGTGGCCATCGTAGCTGGCCCTGGTGAAGCCCTGGAAGGGTGTCCTTTACAGGTGAGGCCAAGGAAGACTAGGCAGCAGGACAGATGAGGAGGGTAAAAGTAGCAAAGGGTATAAACAAGGGCAAGAACGCCTCAGCTCTGCTGTTACAGTAAAAGAGCATGAACACGGGTAATTTAAAAAAAATAATGGAATAGTGGTGTGAATGGAGACCATGCTTGTAGCAGCCTGGAACCAGTTCTGGGGCTTTGCACCACTGCTTGTTGGGAGAGATGTGTGGGTGCATCCCTCTGACACTCCAGCAGCACTGCCTGACTCTTACTTTTTCCTTTTGCCATTTTATTTCCCACTGGAAGCAATGCTCAGGTTGTGGAAAGGGAAGAAAGAAGGCGCCTAGCCAGAACTCATTAGTCCCATAATTAAAAGGTCACAGGTTTTACCACAGGTAGCTAGTCACAGAGCTTTGCAATCGTGGATGGTTTTAAAATGTCCAGAAAATAGGATGGCAACTTTTCTGAAATTATGACCGCACTATCTGTCACCATTTAGTTGCGGTGTTTGCTCAGCATCCCTGGTGCCTGCTGTGGAATTCTCTATTTGCCCTCTTGTATCGTAAATTTTGTGAAGCAGAGAATGTATTTTTTTCATGTGTCTGTGGCTAGAAGAATACTGTATTTGACAGTACTTAACACAAACCATAAATGTATTTTTCTTCATTTTATCTCTTGTTGCTCAGTGGCCAAAGTCAGCAGAAATCAACCCGATACAGCGAAGCTGATAGAAGCAGTTAGTGTGTCTACATAACTTCTTCTGTTTCCTTTTTGATTTCCTTTTTGTTTGGATCCATTGGAAAACAGATGTTATCGTCCTCGGACAGCAAACAGTCTGTTTATTTACTTATACGTTGGTGTTTGTTTCCTCTTTTTTTACAGGTACTTGAGAGGTTACAGCAAAGAGGGTTTGAGATTGTTGGCTCATGTGGAGGTGGGGTGGACTCTTCCCAATTCAGTGAATACGTACTGAGACGAGAACTCAGAAGGACATCTCGTGCACCCTCTGTCATTCGAATAAAGCAAGAACCTCTGGACTAAAATGGACATGTTTCGTTATGCAAAAAAAAAAAAAAAAAGGAAAATATTAAGGAAAAAAAAAAAAGGGGGACATTTCATGTGCAGTTTGAACTCCAAACAAGTCCTGGAACTAAAATTGAATAAAAGACACATTTATATCAAATATAGAGACCACACCTGAATTCATATGGGAACATTTGGAATAGTAGTAATAATAATAACCTCAAGGTGTAAAAGAAAACACACACACACATATATATGGAAAATATGTATGTATATGTATGTATGTACATATATATATGTATGTATATGTCAAAGGGTAGGAAATGCAACAACAAGAAAGTGGTAGATGGGGTTGGTGCTGTGATGGCCATTAAGTGTCCTAGGCCTCACTCGGGCCCACTTAACGGTGTACAAGCCATTACCATTGGGGGGGGGATACACAGACCACGCTTCACCCATTTTCCATTGCCAAACATCCACTTTTTAACGTGTACACACTTTGACTCAATTTTATTTGCGTATGGAGGTTTATGTCTGTCTCTTTTAGAGGTGGATGGGCAGGTGTTCAGGAGACGACCATCCATTGCATTGGAAAGCTAGTCGACTGAAATTTTAAATGTAGTTTGTACAGAAGTCGCACACTTTTTTTTGTCTGCCCTCACAGATGTGAAAGGTTAATTTTTCTTTTGAATGAGTTTTTTGTTGGTTTTGTTTTGTGTTGGTTTGTTCTTTTTTTTTTTTTTTTTTTCAAAGGGGGCCAGAATAATTAATATTTGGTAGAGATGCTCTGGTTTGAATCTGCTGCTTTCCTACAATTTTTTCAAATTTTATAATGTATTAAATACAATAAACTCTGTTTAAAATACTGAGGGTCTGGTCTAAGCCAACAAAAGCAGAGAGGTGGGATTTAGCTCACTGCACGCGGAGCGGTGGCCGCTCTGGCAGGCAGCGGGTGGTCAGCACTGCCCGCGCACCGTGGAGTGAGTTAAAGGCTGCAGTTGCCAGCACGGGATCTGTCAGCATGCCGCGCGTTGCTGGTCTTCCGTCAGCGCTGTCCTGCTTAAGCTTTGTCCCAGTTTGAAGAGAGGCTGTTGGTCAAACTTGAAATAACACCAGCCCAGGGAAACCCATCGACAAGTGACGCCTGGCTCTGTAACCTTCGATGTGACAGTGAATAGCTGCATCCTGCCCTCTCCACTGAGGAGTTGGCAGCTTCTACTCTCCAAGCCCATGCCCTGCTGAGTGTCAGTCAGCCTGTTTGGTTTTAATGTTATTAATTTCCCTCGTTTAAAGTTAATGTTGTTCTGCCTAGAGAGTGAGAGGGTCCACCCCTCGTGTTACGCTGTTGGCTGTGCTGCTCTTGATAGCAGGGGGGAAGTCAGCGTCCTGCGTTGGATGTCCCGTGAGCTGCTCTCTTGCAGAGTCTCACCAAGACCACCTCTGCAGCCGCCTGGTTCGGGCTGGTGAGATTTTGCAAAGACACAGCATCACGATACCACTGCGCTGATCATGGGTTGATACTTGCAGTACTTAGGATGCACCAGCAACCACCACCTTTCCTCCAAAGTGTCTTCTTATGCAATATTCCAGAGTATGACTGTGTATTCATCCTGGTACGGAAGTTTCTAACCATGCAATGGTGCCGGTGTCCCATTCATTTTGGTGACACTTTGCTATTTATTTAAGAAAAGGGGAAAAAAAAAGAAATTGTTAAATACGTGTAACAAGGTTTTTAATATAGTCTGATAACTCAAAAAAAAAAAAAAGCTACCATTTTTCTGGTTTTTATTAAAAGATGTCAGAGAGTATATTTAAATAACTCCCTGGCAGCACATATCAATGGTTTTGAACTTACTGAAACATGGAAGAGGGGTGAGGGAGGGGGCTCCAAAAATCAAGGTTCATTAGTGGGTTATTAGATCTTCAATGTGATGCTGATCTGTCTATTCACAGTACCGAAACAGCTGCCTCGTTGAAAACGCTTGGTTTCAGTCAGCAGCAAGTAGTCCTCTTAAAAAACAAACCAATGATTGCTCTTACTGCCCACAATTTGGTTGTTAGTTTGCATAGCACTCAGAAAGCTAAAACCCTGGGAAATAAGTATTTTTAACAGATCTTGAAACCATTGGAAGTGGTATGAAATTTGTGATGTTGGAAAAGATGCCCATCCCCATGGGTTGAGAGTACGTGGGTACCAGTGCAAGGCGACGTGGTGTTTCAAGGGACTGTTTGCTGTGGAACCCCTCCCTGTGCTTCCAGATGGAGCCTCACCTCTGGGATCACGCCCAGGAATACGTTTATACTCTCTGTTAAGCCCAAAGGTGCTCTCAAATCCAGACCTTCCCTGCTAGCCACCGTGTTTACATACGAGCACGTGCTCCGGTGCGGGCTGGAGCCTGGGGCTGTGGCTCTTTTCCCTGCTCCCCACTGTTTGGCCAGCTGGTACCCCTGGAGCTGCTTGGTGAGGAGCATCAGTGGCCCCTGCGGTGCCTGCCCCAGCAGCCTTTGCGCAGGCTGGGTGTGGAGGGCAAGGGGCTTTGCCACCGATGCTTCTCGTCGCGTTGCTCCCTAAAGCCGGCAGGTTGTGCTCAGCCCGTGGTTTTGCTTGCTCCGTGTGTACCTGTCCCACTCAACAACACCAAGGGTACCTTTGTGCCCCTCCCAGGTCCCCAACTGGCTGCTCCCTCTCTCACCGAGTCCATGTTTGCTGTAGGAGTCAAAAATTGCTCAGAGACCCTGATTGTAAATGTTGCTGCAACGACGGTGTGGTGATGGAATAAGAGGTCATGAATAGACAAAGTGATGGCTGATGAAACATGTATGCAGGAATAAGCTAGATGTAGATTTTTAGAGTGCAAATGAGGTTAGTTCTGTTTGCAGCCGAGGCTTGTAACTGTGTGTCTTTAAAATGTTCTTTAGAAAAAACGGATCAGCAGACAAAGGAGCAATATATCCAGGAAAGGGGGAGTGGGGGAAACCAAGAAGGACCAGGTAACTGCCAGCTCGCTGCTGGAGGTTAGTAATTTTGACATGTACAATAGCTTAAACTTATCTAATTTTTTATTAAAAAAAATCTGACTCCATTGTATGCTCTCAGTGGTGCTCTGTTTAATAACGAGAGGGAGAGCTGCCGTGAACAGTAGCTGCCGACGTTGTACTTCAGCAACTGGGTTAAGCAGCTGCCAGGAGAACTGCTGTGGGCATGCAGAGATCGCAGACGCCACCTAACACCCCTTCCCACAGTGAGACCATGGGCAGAGGAAACTTTCGGTAACGCGAACGCTGGATTTCTGCAGTGACCCAGGGTTTAGTTCTTCCCCTATTGCCTCCTCAGCCTACTGAACAGCTACGTAAGGAACGTATGGATCCTGGCACGCTTGGATGAACTTCTGAACTGTCAGTGTCCTGCTGAAGACCGAGTTAATTTACCCTGCTCTGGAGAAAGTGAAGTCCCTCTTGGTCACTAGGTTGAGCTCTCTTTCCAGCAGCGCTATTTGTAAATAGGTGTTGTTAATCTATTCTATCTCCAGGTACTTTTTGGCCAAATAGTCTGGTCTGGTGAATGTTTTTCCTCTCCGTTGTCACGTGTCTGGAATGAAGCTGGTCATTCCAGTGCTTGACCGGTGCAAGCAGGTATAGTTGAGGCATTGGGTTTCGATGCCCGACAGAGTCCATAATGAAATCCAGTGGGGACAACCTACTACCCTCTAAAAACATGAAAATTGAGCCACCCATTCAATTATTTTTCCTTATGCTAAACAGGCACTGATTTAAATTTGAAGAGAAACATTTTGTTTGTGAGCATAATTTTTTGCAGCAACCTTTAAAAATTGATTGCTATACTAATTACAGGGTATTTACCATCACCTAAATGACTTGTCAAGTGCATTTTTCTTCAGTGTTCACATTGTTGGGGGCTTGGGGAAAGAAGGGTTTGATTTTGAGGGGTGAGAAAAGAATTTTTTTTGACCAGTGGTCAGTTTTTCAGAGAAATAAAAACATTTATTTCCATCTGTCATTTCTTGACTGCGGAATTCTATATTATGAATTATTTCTAGGGACAACTGGTATTTGTATGTCGGTATTCATGCTGCCTGAGGTTTATTTACAGTGGAAATGAAACCAAGACATCCTCAGGGCCTGTAGACCAGTTGCTTTTTCTCAGACTTCAGTTTGAGTGGTTTATTATTTCTTGAGGGTCTAGAGGGATCACTGCCACCAAAAATCAATACATTGCATCAGGTCCCTGTGTTGGCTTTGGCTGCTACCTCATTGATCTGGTTATTGAAGATCCCAAAACTAACTTAGCATTTGGGATCCTCTATTTGAGATTGAAACTGTTAAAATCGTATCTCTACTCCCCTTACAAAAAAAAGATGCAGGCCCATAGAGCAAAAGTTTATCTCCTTGTGAGCTGAGCTAGCTCACCAGGATGCTAACATCGATGCTGGGAGGTAAACCCTAGTGCCAACCTGCTGAAGCATCTTCTGTTGGTGCAAGGATGAGCTCCAGAAATGGAGGCATCCTCTTATAGATGGGGAAAAGTCCACTTTTCCTTGAATCTGTGATTTTTTTTTTACTAGGGTCTTAATATTTTACTAAGTCCTGTGCCCCTAAAACAATGAGCAGTGTGTTATTTTTCAACTGATGTCAGATGTTATGGCCCATATCCCGTCTTCATGGCGAACTTGCCCCACACCCAAGTTCTGAGCTGAATTACAGTTTAGTGTAATTCAGGGATTATGAGAAGAGGCAGTGGTGATCGGCTGTCAGTGGCATTGCATTGGCAGCAGTAGTATGTCATCTCCGTTGCATGGTGCTTCTGAAAAATACAGTGTTTTCTGCTTCAGGTCAGAAAAAGTGCAGTTTGCTCAGACTCTTCTCTCTCAACCCCACTGCAGCCATATGCCCATGAGCTCTTCTCTTCGGAGAGGCTGGTGCGGATAGGCTGGGTTTGTGTCCGTCAGGGAGCATGGAGTGTGTTGGTGCCCTTGCCCAGCCATGAAGCTCTGTCCCCTGGTCCTCAGAGCACAGCTCTGCCTTGCTGGTCTGAGGA